GGCCAAATCGATATTCTTCGCGAGAACTTGAAGGAAATTTTTCCGAAGAATGGCAAAAATCTAAATTACTTTGAGACGAAAGAAGCAATTAGAGAACACCAGAAAATCATTACGTTTTCAAAGTATATTGAAGATTTATATTCATATATCGCTATGATATTGTTCGTATCGGATTCGTTGATTATCTGTTGCTTGGGTTTTACAATTGTTGCGGTAAGTATTATATTTTTGTATAATTCTACAGTAAAGAGGAATATACATTAGAATTTTACAGAATAAAAGAGCTAATTCACCTTTAAGTATTCATTACCTTATCACTTTTCCATTCCTCTTAGGACATTTCTTAATATTCCAGTCGATCGGTCGACCTGATGCTTCAGAAAGTATAATCAGAAACTTTTTATTTTATGTCGTTATAAATATGGAGGCGTTCATCTTTTGTTTTGCTGGAGAATATTTAAGTGTTAAGGTTAGTTATTGAGACGAATATGTGGTTTGCGATAAATAAGCAGAATATTATTATATGTAATTTATTTTCAAAATTACAATATCCATTAATCCTCCATTTGCTCCAATAGAGCAAAAGCATCGGAGATGCTGCTTACGCTTCCTTCTGGTACGAATCAGATTCTAGAAATAGTCGAATTATATTATCTTTGATAATGAGGTCGCAAAATCAATTAAGTATTACAATTGGAAAGATAATGAATTTGTCTTTGGGACAATTTACCACTGTAAGTTTATCTCAGAAAGACACATCATTTTGCACGTAAAATTTTTAATCGCATATTTTACATTGAGAAGAGATTATTCTATTAATAATTATCTAGAATAAATAAAAAGCAAAAAATTTGTTTTTTTTTTCTTAAATTATGAATAAACTATTATTTGAATCAATTTTCGTTGTATACACACACATATACTATTATAATAATCAAATAATACTTTTACAGATTGTAAAAGCTTCAGCCTCCTATATATCGGTTCTACTTGCAATGTATTGAAGCGGAACTGCATTCTATTTACATAATATTTTTAATAAGTGTTAACAACTGGTAGTTTAATTATGTTTAGTCTTAAAAAAATTTGCACATAATTTAAAAATGTCAAAAATCATTACAATATTACTTACCATTTTTTTCCATATGTGTTACACACTTGCGTGTGTGCGTTTTGGTAGTAAGAATAAACTCAAAATTGCCGTAGATCAATAACTCGAGATGTTTATTAATTGATGTCGAACAATGCAATCCCATGCTGCTTTCGCTCCTCTCATTTGGCAACGTTAGCGCGACTTTGCAAGTTCTGACAATTTTCTTTTATTCTTTCTCGAGTCTTCCATTTGCTGTGCACGTGGCGTCTTGTATTTTTAAAACTCATAATTCGTCGTGTTACCCTGTCAAGAAAAAAAGAAAGAAGAATAAGAAACCGACAAAATAAGGACAAATTTTGTAAATTTCTAATAACTTTTAAAGTTTCATAATTGTAGATCTAAAGTTGTACATTCAAAAATTATAGGTGTAAATTCTTAATCGTGTAGTGTTTATGTAGATCTCATCGTATGTTGAGAAAATTATATAATATTTAACATCTACAGAATTAAATCCACATCTATACATTTTAGAGTATGTATGTATTATATATTAGAGTATGTATAGTGTGTTATTTTAGGTTTGCTTTCAAGAGAACATTTAATGATTAATTGTTTTCGGTCAATTGTGAATATGTTTTTGCGTTCTTTAATGAATTATATATCACAATATTTTTCGTAAAATTAAGGAAACACGGCAAATCCGATATTCGATGTCTTATATTATAAAATTATTGATAGTAAATTCTTTTTTTCATAATTTTACGAAAATGATTGCGAGTACAGCATGTTTCTCTATAAAATTCGTACTTCAAATCTTAATATAACACCTGAGTGGACATGTTGTAAACCATTTCGCATAAATTTTCTAGTTCGCGAAATTAATTGTCGTTATGATATGTCGGTACGTTTATTTCATATTTCTCCACCGCACCAACGAGCTAATGGATTTGATGAATAATTTGAGCAACTCTTTAGCACACAGCTTGTTGCTAACGGATTCTCTTTTGGTTAATTCATCAATGAATTAACTTAATTATTCTCTTCGTTTTTTTTTGTGCAACAGTATCAAATAATAAACTATAAATAGCTTGAACTTATTTTATGAAGTTATTCAGAATTCATTTTTTTTATATAAAAAGTTCCGCGATATCTTATAATAGCCACGAATTGAATAAACGAAAATTCGAAAGATTTGTTTAGCATGCACGACAACGAAATGGCTAATCGATCATAGTGTTACGAATGCTATAGTCTTCGCACGACGACCACAACAATCTATAGTCTCGGCGTAAAAGTGTCCAAAAGTGATAACTTTAATATATCAACTTCATTCGGGCGCTTATCCTGAGGATGGAATAAATTTTTCTTCGACAGCAACAATTTACAAAAAAAAAAAACAAAACTCTAGTCATATGAAATTTCCCCGTCGCCATAAAAAATATCGAGTTTTAATTTTTTTAATTTAAAATTATTTTATATTAAATAATATATAAAAATTCATTTATACATGGTATAGACAATATTCTTTAACAAAAAATTTCCACAATGTAAGTAATAAATAATTATTGATTTTATTTAAATTTTTCTTAAAAATTTACAATTTTCTTCACTCTTCTCTACAACAAAGTTATCGAAAATATACAAGGTAAACGTCCCAGTGACTGGACATGTCTCTATGTCCGGACACTTAAACAAAATTTATTATTATTAATCTCAAATGATTTTTTAAATATAATATTATAATTTAATTGTAATTTTTAAATATAATTAAATTATAATATTGCAATAAAAAAATCATTTGAGATTAATAATAATAAATTATGTGTCTGAACAATAGGTACACGTCCGATTATTGGGACGTTTACCTTAATGGTATTTACTTCGAAAAGCGTGTACGTTCTATGATCATGAGTTATAGTACAGCACTAGGTGTATATCGGACTGTCATTAGAGAAATAAGAAGTTACCACAACTCGAATATACTGCAACAGTATCATTTGTATTTACTACGTATTCGCAATTCTTCCACTTTCCTCTAGTATCACAACATATACACTCTAATCACAGTATAAAATTATAAAATATAATATATAATAAAAAAACTCAGTAACAGTATTAAAGAAATTATAGCTATTATCGTATTACAAATAATATACCATTTATATTTCTGATATAATTAAATTAATTTTCACACTTAAAATATTGATAATAATAATTACTTATCCAATGCTCTACTCGCTTAAACAGATGTTACTTTACATTTTTGTAATGTTGAAATGTCATTATAACATTTATTATTACAATCTTTTATTGAATATTAACATTAAGCTCTTTGCATTTTATGATGTCCTTTAGTCCGAATCTACAATAGGTGATTTAAGACTTAAGCCATAAGAAATTAAACAATTACAACCGAATGCGAAAAGAATAATCGATTGTGATTTGACCATTTCTTATGGCTTAAAAATCTATATTATATATCCAGGCTAGCTTATAATATTGCAAACTTATGATATTGCTTATAAGGATTATGCTTGTCGTTTGCGAGTTGCCATTGCTACTGAAATATAAAACTTTACTCAACACTTCATTCTCCGTTTCCTGCTTCTGACTTGCTTCTTCACAATCAATGCACAACTTGAATCTGACATGCACCAGAGTTCCGTCCAAAATAATACGATTTACATATTTCAGGAGAATGAATTGTTAACGCGTGCACACTAGCCGCACTTATAATGCGCGAGGAATATCCTTCAATATTGAGGAAATAAAATCTTTCCTCAATATTGAAAGAAAAAAATATTCGCTTCTTCTACCCTCTTCCTCGAAAACTCTCCCTCATTCACGGATATACAAAACTTTTCTTACGGCCATATCAATCCATGATTTAACGTTCTGTGAATGTCGCGTGTGTTGCTATCTGTTACTGCTTGAATTTTTAAAGAAAATAATGCATTACGAGCTACACCGCTGTTTTGTCCAAGAATTTGAGAGGGAGAACATCGGCCATCCGGAAATTTATTTTTTTTTACCGACAATATACACGCAATCTGTACACATTGCGATTAAAATATTTAATAAGCTATGTGGGCAAGTGCCCTCCACTCTCGTTCTCTTTCAAGCTCTTAGTTTGTACAAAGACATTACATCGTGCACATTACACGATCGATCAAGTGTTTTTCGTAACATCCCTGTTTTTTTTTATTCTCTTATTTCTTTATTCTCCGGATTCGATGCATATTAACAGTGCAAAATAATAAGAAAGTAATAATACTATAAATATGAAAGTAAAATATACTGTTAGCCCAGCTACAGAAATTTTATTTCGTATCTTTGGTATTTGGCCGAACACGTCGTTCGTTTTGTTACGTAGACTGTTCTGGATTATTTCGATCGTATTCGAGCAAATTGGTCAATATCGATATATTGTAAAACATTTTCATTTGATGGAGCTTTTCGAGATCATAATAATTTTAACTGTAGCAGTGACAATGACAAGATTTTTTATTGTACTCGTTCTATTTTGGTGTAAGCAGCGGTGAGATACGCAGTAGTGAGACACATAGTATAAGTACTATCAATGAAAAATTTGTTTTAAACATTATTTAATTTATCCAAATTAAATTAATTAAATAAATTTAACATTACGGCTTATTTCAGCAATTGCCACTTTAGATAGTAAAGTGATTTATTCGGCAATTGCAAACGTTAACAAAACTAAAAACAATTATTGTATTAAACAAATTATTATATACAAAAATAAAAGATAAATGAACACACATCTCGAAAGTTATTGTGTAATGATAAATTTTTCATCGATAATTTGCATAATGCTTCATTGCGGATTGTTATCGTGATTATAACCAATAAAACTATTTGTAGAACATTCAGTAAGATATTAACGATGATGGCGATTGATTGGGAAAAGTGTTCCAACACAAAATTTAGTATGTTCGTAACAACGCAAAATGCCAAACTATCGGAGCGCTTTGTTAATATGTTGGTGATTCTTCATTCGATTACTGTAATTCTCTGTAGCACCCACATCCTTGTGAAATACGTAGATGATGGCAATGCTTCCAATGTCTCCACACGATTATTCATTTTAGAGATGGATCTGCCATTTGACGCTAACCAAAGATTCGTATATGAATCTGTTATAATTAGCCAATTTTTTCATTTCTTACTATGTTCCAACCTTGTAAGTGTATTCAATGCTTTTCTCATAAGTCTGGTAAGTTCTATTATGTAAGTAGATATTGTTTCTATGTATTATTTTTATTATTCATAATATTAATTTCTTATATTTTAATAATCTGTGATCAATTAATATCAATTTATTGATGAAATGTTTGATTATTGTCCATATTATAAAAAATAATATATAGACTATTCTATCATATGTTGCTTTTTGAATTTTAAAATATTTTATACGGTGTTAATTAAATATTTATGCATTGAAATATTTTTTCTCAACATCTATTAGCACAGTAGTTCAGAAGAACGTATATATTTTAGATATTGCATATAGGCGGTCAAATCGATATTCTGCGTGAGAGTTTGATGGGAATTGTTCCGAAGAAAGACAAGGCCAGCTCGAGTCATTTCACAGTAAAAGAAGTAATAAAAGAACATCAGAAAATCATTACCTTCTCAGAGCATATCGAACATCTGTATTCGTATATTGCAATGGTGCTATTTGTATCAGATATTCTGATTATCTGCTGCTTAGGTTTTACAATTGTGGCAGTAAGTATTATAATTTTGTTTAAATCTATATATACGATGAAGAGCAATATACACTATTTGAACCGCTGTTGAATTTGTATAATAAAGGAGAACTATTTGGTGCTTTTAATTATTTCAGCATTTTGTTACCTTTTCGTTACTCTTAGAATATTCCTTAATATTTCAGTCAATCGGTCGACCTGACGTTTTCAAAAATATAATTAGGGTCCTCTTATATTACTTGACCATAAATATGGAAGCATTCATATTTTGCTTTGCTGGGGAATACTTGAGCGCTAAGGTTAGACATCAGAACGATTATATTAATCACTTTCTTTGATATTATAATATTAATATATAATTGTTTGTATATACACATATACACACACATCCACATTCATATACAGAATCTCATTTTAATTATCTTAAATAAATATCTTGAAAAATACGTATGGTACGTAAAAAATGTTTCAGATGAAAGTGGAACTATTTCGGGGGAACGAATTTGATTCATGTTGTTTTTTATAGACGAATAAGTCAAAAAGGTATGAAGGTTACCCCCACTTTTTAAATGATTTTTCTGCAAAATATTTTTTAATTATTTTATTCATGAAAATATTAATTTACGGTTATTAATAAGTAGTTTATGAAACATTTAATATTTTATGTAATGTAATGCCGGAATATGGTATCAAATATCTTATAAACTAATAGTTTTTTTGATATTAACATTTTAATATTTTTATATACAAAATAATTAGAGAAATTATATTATTAAATAAAAAATCATATAATTCCATTTAGAAAAGTAGAGTAATCTTTTTAATGCCTTTACGAAAAAACACAAATGTGACGAAAATAAATATCTCCCACGAAACCGTTTTACTTTCATCTGAAATATATATTCTCATATTATATATTTTTCAAAATATTTGCCAATTAACAATATATACATATATAAATGTTACAAGAATAATTATTTAATAGAGTAAAAGCATCGGAGATGCTGCCTACTCTTCTCTCTGGTACGAATCAGATTCTAGAACTAATCAAATTATATTGTTTTTGCTGATCGCAAAATCAGTTAACAATTACAGTCGGAAAGATAATGAATTTATCCTTGGAACGATTTACTAGTGTAAGTCTATTTCATATTTACTTTATATAGCCTTTTAGTATAGATTTTGCACAAATGATTATTTTATCCATAATTATATATAAATATAAAGTGTGCTTGTTCTTTTTAAAATAAGATAAAATAATGTTGTCAATTACAATAATAAATGATTTTATTAAGATCGTAATGAAATTAAATATTAACAATAAATAATCATATTCAATCTTATAACGATCGAAGCTAGATCTTTTAAATCCTAAATAATTTAAAGTGAATTATATGTATATACTATATATGTACATGTATATATATATATATATGTATATATATATCATATTTTGCAGTTATTCAAACTGCGGATAGAATTTTTACCGGACAAACGCAATTAAACGTACGATCTCGATGGTCTTATGGCTTAGGACGCTCGTACGGGA